AGGATTTGGAAAGTATGGCACACAAAGCCTACCGAACTGTGCCACCCGATCTCTTCAAGTTGTTGCTGAGGGATCGGTTTATAGATGCCTTGGACAGTCCACAGCTGAAGATACAAGTAAAGCAAGCACACCCCTCTACTATGCAGGATGCAATGGTCAGAGCTCTTGAATTTGAATCCTACATTAAGTCCAAGGTTGGTACAGTCATCAGGATTCAAGGACAGAAAAGGGCAGCTTTCAGAGAAGTTTGAGGAGGGACTTTGCTGGAGTGTAATAAACCTGGACGCAAGAGAACTCAATGCTGGCAACTTCAACACAGGGAAGATGCCACAGGAGGAAAGGCTGCTACCCAGAAAGGTTGTTGGAACTGTGGAGAGCAAGGACATATGAGGAGCCAGTGTAAGAATAATATTACCAATAAGGCAGCCTCGGGGGAAACCAGTAGTAGTTGGTGTTGAGGTACGCCCACCAACCCCCATTGTGAAAGTCCCAACAGCTAGGTGTAAAATGCCAAGCATACATAGTGTCTACGTGACAGGAAAGCTGGATGGCCAAAGGTACAACTTTGTCATAGATTCTGCATCCCAGCAAACCCTTGTGAGTATCAAGATGCTGGATCACAAAGGAGTATCAGAAGCCATACAGAAGCTCTGTGGTGTGACAGGACATTATGCAAAGTTGTGGGGACCAGTGTGGGTAACTGTTGAGCTCATGGGCGTGAAGAACAGACACAAAGTATACTTGGCTGACATTGAAGACCAATGCATGTTAGGGTTTGACTACTTACTACCGAGGAAGTGTGTAATTAATTTTGATAAAATGACGTTTAGGAACAACGAAGGCCAAATTTCGATAAGTGTTAAAAGAGAGGTTGAACTAACCAGGTGTCATCAAGCTGAAGTTAAAGTGACTGAAGGAGTTGATGATGGTGAAGTGGAACTAAATATAGATATTAAAGCAGAGCAGGAGAAAGACCAAGATTTGAAGCCAATAATTGATTTTCTAAAAGCAAGTGTTTTGCGCCCTGCTTAGGAAGGGTGTCTAGCTTAAGCTCTGTGACAAAGAACTATTGGGCAAAATGGGACCAGTTGAAGCTTGAAGATGGTATTCTTCTCTGGAGCTGGTAAACTACAGATGGAAAAGTGACGATCTGGTAAACGGTTATACCGAGAAAGTTACGGGAAGTTGTGCTGCGTCAATTCCATGATAGTTTAACAGGAGGACATCTCAGAATTAAGAAGACATTGAGTCTCCTACGACAGATATTTTACTGGATATGTATGAGGCAAGGTGTGGAAGAATGGTGCAGAACATACAGTACATGTTGTGCTAAAAGGGGACCCAAGCATAAAGGACGTGCTCTAATGAAGTTATATCAAGTTGGCACACCAATGGAAAGAGTAGCCGTTGACATTGCTGGTCCTTTGCCCAAACTCGTGCTGGAAACAGGTACATTTGTGTGGTGATGTATTATTTCACCAAGTGGCCTGAGGCATATTCAATACCAAATCAAGAAGCTACAACTGTAGCTTTGGCTATTAGTGATTTCTTCTTCAGATTTGGTATGCCATACGAACTGCATTCAGATCAAGGCCGTAACTTTGAATCAGTTGTGTTCCATGAATGCTGCAAGTTGTTTGGCATACGAATGACCAGAACAACACTACTTCACCCACAGTCTGATGGAATGGTAGAAAAGTACAACTGGACACTGGGACAGGAATTGACAAAGTTTTGAAATAGCCGCCAAGATGACTGGGATGTCTTATTCCCTCCACTGTTGATGGCCTATAGGATAGCAGAGCATGAAGCCACTGGATACACTCCAGCAAAGTTGATGTTTGGTCGGGAACTTCGGTTGCCAATGGATCTGTTAACAGGACACTCACCTTATGAAGAGTTGCCTGAGAATGTGTCAGAGTTTGTGAAAGTGTTATCTGAAAGGATAAATAATATTCACCATCAAGTGCGATCAAACCTGAAAATGTCTGCTGATTCGATGAAGCTATGTTATGATAAGAAGTCTACTGAAATCAGCTTTGTACCAGGAGACAAGTTGTGGTTGTATAATCCCAGGAAGACCAAAGGCAAGTCTCCTAAGTTGTCTTCTCCATGGGAAGGCCCATATGGCATAGTGGATCGTCTCTCAGACGTGACTTTCCGAATAAAATGTGGTCAGCGAGGTAAGCCAAAAGTGGTGCATGCCAACAGGCTTTGGCATTATCACGGTCCAGGACATTTCAGTTGGGACGAAGTGAACAACGGAACAAAAGACACCACTAAAGACGTGTCACCTGGAAAGGCTACTGTCGAAGAAGAAACTCTACCCAGTTTAGAGTTGGGAAACAGTGAAGCCCTTGCTGAAGTTACTACCACTGATGTGACTATTACCAATAATAGGACAATTCCCGATGGAGCAGATGAACCTCACGTGAAGCAGAAGCCAACGAAGTGGAGACCAGTATGGAAGAAGATACGTCCCGTAAAATTAAGAGACTTTGTTGAATTTTAATTTTGTGTTTGTAAATCCTGTACATTTAATTAAGTTATTGTTAATTAGCTGTTGGTTTAACTTAAGTGGCTATTGTTCTGGACGAACAATACTAAGGAAGAGGCAGTTTTACGACAGCGGAATTCACCTGACGCTGATAACACGTAATGAGTATCTAGAATATTCATGAGTATCTAGAACGTTCTTGAAGGCTCGAGTGTTTGCCAGACACCCTCCATTTTGTATATATAAGACCGGCAAGAAGTGACGGCATAAATCTTTGAATAGCAGATTATCTATTGGGTTAATGTAAGTGGCTATTGTTCGGGACTAACAATACTAAGGAAGGGGCAGTATTACGACAGCGGAAGTCACGTGACGCTGGTAACACGTCATGAGTTTCTAGAATGATCATGACTGTTCCTGGCAACTCTAGTGTTTGCCAGACGCCCACTATTTTTTTTTTATATAAGCCCGGCAAATAAAGCGGAGATATATTGCAGATAGGTAGATATAGAGACAGATAATCGAGTCAAGCCGTAAGTAAATGGTGTAAATCGTTGTGAATTATAGCGTGTGTTTAAGTTAAAGTGACTGTGTATTGAAGAGTTGTATTGATGAAGAATAAACTAGTTTTATTTAAGAAAGGGCTTGCATCGCTGAAGTTCCTTGGGAAGAATTTTTACGAGAAATTATCAAACGAACAAAGACGTAACAATGTCTTAAAATAATATTTCATTAATCATAGGGTACGGGTACTCCAGATAGTTATTAATATTCTGTGTGATTGTTTTAAATAAAAATTTTGCATGTACCGATGACATAAAACTATTTACTTTAGTATATAATAAACAATGTACAATAGAAAATTAACTGATTATCTGAAATATTCAATATTTGCGATAAGGTTTTATTTTCATTCTTATTTCAACGCAATTTTAAATAAATATACATTTATTGATTAAACAATGAAGAGGTATAATTAGAATAAGTTTTAGAATTAAACTAAGAAATAAACGTATGAAAATAGAAACTCAGTTTCTGATTGTTTTTTTATTATTAAAATTAAAACATTGTTTAAAACCTTAACAACTCATTAATCTCTCTAAGTTGGTAACTTTGAATCAATTTTTGTGCTTTGCTACTACTAGACAATACAATTTTGGTTGTTTTAAACCTGTTGCTCTGGTTTCTCTTTCAGGGAATTTACTGGTTATGGTTGTTGTTTTTCTCCACCGCCGCCTGCGTACGACAACGAACTTCTTCTTAACGAATCTTGCTGTGGCTGATTTCTGTGTAGGTGTTTTCTGCGTTTTTCAAAACCTTTCATTATATCTGATGAACAGTTGGCCGTTCGGAAACATTCTTTGCAAAATGTACCATTTCATCCAAAGTTTAAGCTACACTGCATCTATTGTTATCTTAATGGTTATCTGTGTTGAAAGGTATGTCGCTATTATCTATCCCTTATGGAGCAAGCATGCTTTTACTTTGAATCGCTTACGTGTTATTATATCGGTAGTGTGGCTAGTTAGTGCTCTTTATTGCTGCCCCAGGCTCATAATTTACGGCACAGCAGAGCTTCCCTCAGCATCCGGGACCTCAGTGGAATGTTTCATGCAGCGCCGCTTTTACGATTCTGAAATATACGACATTGTAAATTTCGTGTTTCTGTTAATAATTCCTTTAATTATTATTATTTTACTTTACGCCATCATTGGAATTCATCTGTGGAAAGGTAGGTTAGATTCTGATGAGCTTGAGAACATAAAAGACATGGAGCTGAAGCATTTGCGTAGTGTTTTAAGTAGAAGACACTCTACACTCCGAGAATCTCCCTCCACCCTTCTCTGTTGCCATGGCTGCGAGTCAGGAAGTCCTGGCCATATCCACGGGGCTCATTTTGTTATAAGGAAAAATGGTGGGATCTGCATTTGTCGTGAAATACGTTCATCTATAATTGACATATCAAGGCTCACCGTCACGGACCATTGTTGCTATTGTAATGTGGGTAGAAACCTTCGTATGTGTGACACAAAAGCCAGCACGAGTAGAGATAAGTTGAAACATTCTACAAGCAAAGGGAGCAGCCACTCTATGTCTTTTCAACAGCATTGTCTTTCTCGAGCTCCAAGAACAATTATTAAAGCTAGAAGAAGAGTTGTTCGTCTTTTGTTGGCTGTTGTCTTGTCTTTTGCTTTATGTAATTTACCTTTCCACGCTCGCAAACTTTGGCAGTATTGGTCTCCTCAATTCGATGGTGCCAGCAAAGGATCCGTTTTTCTTACTATTGGCACGACTTTACTATTGTACTTTAACTCTGGAATAAATCCCATTCTTTACGCTTTCCTCTCAGAAAACTTCAGAAACTCGATGAAGGAAGTAGTGTGTTGCAGAAAACATCCAATCTCAAGCCGTTTTACTTCTCATCACTCAACTGTACGAGCTCCTCAACCTTCTCAGTCAGGATATGAACGGAAACCTTCTCAATCTGTCTAAAAATAGAAACCTTTAACAAGTTTTCATGATGCTCAGATACAATTTGTAAGAACATTAAGTATTATATTTATTTTACTGTCATCCGTAAGATATCCAGATTCAACTAAATCATTGCCGTCAACAACATGTAATTCATAGAGCACACACTAATCTATAAAAACGCAGATTAACATTTTAACTGGATATGTGCTTACCTTTCACCATTAATTTTTTCATAGATATTTAAAAGATTGTATTGGTTTTCTATACATACTCACTTATATACAGTATAAGTATATAACCATGATATGCTAATTTGTAGTTTAGGTTTTAGGTATATGACCTTCCCGTATTTCTAACATTATATACATATGATGTTTAACATGATACAATATATTCATTATACATTGTATATTATGAGTGTAAAAGTAATAACACTGAATATTTTGTGTGTGAAAGTAACAACACAATATATTGGAACCAAAACTGTACATCTCCAAAATTCTGGAGTGCATATTTCTTCGTGAGGCCTGTCGTTGTTGTTTGTGCTGCAACTCAACCTACATTCGTAAACATATATTAACAAGCATGTTTCCATTTCTTTGAAATTCAATTTTTTTTTTACAGAATACTCAGTAATATCTGGAAATAATGTGAAATACATTTCATATTCATTCAGCAATTATATACAAGGTATTCAGACCATCGATAAAGAGTTCTTCTAAACTAATATATTTCTATTATATGTATTTGTTCCATTAATTACTCGAACTGCTCAGAGTCCTTAATTTCGCGTTTTGTTAGTCATGACACCCGTTATTTTATGTACATAATATTGATATATAATTTTATTGTACTAAGTGCAAAGTTTTCTCTCACTACTATTTCAAATTGGAGTGATTTTAACTGACTCTAACGCATTTTATTTTATATAATACCGTAACACAAGCTGCATAAAATGTTGAAAACACTTGTATGATGAATATTTGAAATAAATATATCCGCTCACAACTGACTGTGATTTTGTCTTAACTATTAGGCATTGAATCAAATTCAAATTAAATATGACAAAAAATATTTTGAGATTGCCGGTAAATTTTGTCTGTAACTTTTTATTATAATATATATACTATCTTGGTCAATGGTGCAATACCTGTTCTTGTGATCCTTATTATATTGTTTCGAATGAACTAATCGAATATTCCCAACCAATAGACATACAAAGTTAAATTTCGTTAACTTTTTATCAACGTTCTAGTTAGTGTCAGTTGATATTAGCTCAAAAAAAAATTGCAGCACTCGACTGTCTGTTGTATAGGTTTTGTTACGTTGACGCTTTCTCAAATTTTTTCAAAGTGTTGCTGTTCTTAGAAAAAATAGTATATTAAGAAATGTTTAATGAAAAGAAACAGCCAATATTAAAAAATGTTAAAGGAAAAGAAACAGTCAACATTAAGAAATGTTTAATGAAAAGAAACAGTCAACATTAAGAAATGTTTAATAAAAAGAAACAGTCAACATTAAGAAATGTTTAATGAAAAGAAACAGTCAACATTAAGAAATGTTTAATAAAAAGAAACAGCCAATATTAAGAAATGTTAAAGGAAAAGAAACAGTCAACATTAGGAAATGTTTAATGAAAAGAAACAGCCAGTATTCAGTGAAAATTATTTTCTCAACTTTTCATCAAAAAGGAGACACCACAGTTAACATAACCCCATTCCGTGCAGAACAAACAGACTCTTAAGACTAGGCCATTCTATTGGGTTAGCGTAAGTCTGAAGACATAACTATAAAAATCAAATTTCTATACGCGGGCTGGCAGAGCACAGATGTTCCGTTGTGTAGCTTTATTCTTAAAAATTAACAAATAAAACTTAAGACTAGGTTTGTCAATTAACAAATAAAACTTAAGACTAGGTTTGTCAATTAACAAGTAAAACTTAAGACTAGGTTTATGCTCATTAAGCCGAAAGTTGAAGCTTTCAAAACATAAAGAATCTTCACCGGATGTAAAATTGCCTGTTCCTCTTCATAAACCATGTTTGTCTTACAGTATGCACTACGTTATCTGTATTCCAGTAGACTGACAAATGTTATAATACTTAGAATATAACTAAGTATGTGTAAGAAATGCACACATAACAATTTACGTTCGATATGATGGCATGCATTACTTAAATTATACATAAACAATTTTATATACTAGACGATCAACAGTATCCAATAAAGAAGATATGCTGTATATATCTATTAAACCACGCAACATTTAAACAAAATTAGATTCATTCTAAGACTGTAAAATGAGAAGGACGAAACATTTTATAAACTCTAAAATGAGATGGACGAAATCATTTTCTAATTTGTAAAATGAGAAGGACGAAAAACTTTCTAAGCTGTAAAGTGAGAAGGACGAAACAATTTTTAATCTGTAGAATGAGAGGGCGAAAACATTTTCTATACTGTAAAATGAGAAGGACGAAAAATGTTTATCTTGTCTGTAAAATGAGAAAGACGAAAACATATTTTCTAGTCAGTAAAATGAGAAGGACGAAAAAACTTTCTGGACTTTAAAATGAGAAGGACGAAAAAATTTTCTAGACTGTAAAATGAGAAGGACGAAAAAATTTTCTAGACTGTAAAATGAGAAGACAAAAAAAATTTCTAGACTGTAAAATGAGAAGGAGAAAAAATTTTCTAGACTGTAAAATAAGAAGGGTAAAAAATTTTCTAAGCTAACTCTTTTTGATTTTTAATACAAAATTATTGTCCGAAATGTTTATTATTATTATTTACAGGATTATTGAAGTCTGTAATAGCAAATAACGCTGTATCTTTAATTGATATGTAAAAAGACAATTATCAAAATATTTTTTCAATCTGTATGTAAGTCCAATGATGATTAACTTATAAAGACCATAAAGCTATGAAAGTTTGCTGTCATTTGTATTATTTAAAATGCAAGTCAAATTGTTTACAACTTTTAAATCATTTTCCAGATGCAATTCAAACGTTATTACATAAGCCTGCTCTCGGCCTCAATTATTCACCATTTCACATATTAACTGATGTGTATTTAAAAGCGTTCATTCTTCAATTACGTTTCCCATTTTAACCAATGAACATTGAATTTATGAATCAAGTTGCAAATCAAAATATACTAATCAAAGTCTTCTTTAGACTCCAACAAGTTATTATTAACTGGGTCATGAATATATTGGCAAGAACGGGTGAAACATGATTGCCCATACTTAAACCATCTATTTGAAGGAAATGTTCGTTGTTTCATGACCCAGATCGAAACACAAGCCATACATTCTGTGCTTCATCCCCCACTATACTGGTACAGATATGTCGATGACACTTTTCCTGGTTTCACTTATACAGAACGCACACTAACTTTCTTTAAACACATAAATTCCATTCATCCTAACATCAAATTTACCATAAAACACGAAAACAATAAACAGTTATATTTTCTTAACCTCAACATTATTAGATGGGATACACAGTTTAAAACCAAAATTCACCGTAAGAACACACACACCGGCCTCTACATCCCCTGGAATTCCACTTATGGCACTACACAATAAATCAATACACTGAAAAACCTCATAAACCTAGCCACAAGACTTTGTTCAACGGACTACATAGATGAAGAGATCAACCAACAAATTTCCACCAGCTATTGTTGAAAAACGCTCCAACATTCACCACAACAAAACTCAACTCACTAACAAAATTGATCTAACAAACCCAACAACATAACATTACACTGTATTTTACCTTTTGTTCCTGAAACCAGCTCAAGAATTATCCACACTTGGACAAAACTAGCCAGTAAACACAAAATTCCTGTCAACGTCAAACTCTCTCAAAAACCCGGTCTTAAATTCAAATCGTTATTAAACAAAAATTATTTAGAATCATACAATACGAACGTCATTTACAAAATAACATGTAATAGCTGCCCAGAATTCTACATCGGAGAAACAGAAAGAAAATTGGAAACCAGATTGACAGAACACAATAAAAAACCGTCCCACGTTTTTCACCATTGCAACTCAAAAAAAACCATGCAAATTTTAATACAATAATTTTAAACAAAAAACCAAATATAAACAAACGAAAAATCAAGGAGTGTTTGTTTGGTTGTAGTTATGCTCAAAGCTACACAATGGGCTATCTGTGTTCTGTTCACCACAGGTATCGAAACCCGGTTTCTAACGTTGTAAGTCCGTAGACATATCGCTGGGTCACTGGGGGGGGGGGCAAAAACGAGGAACCCATTTTAATTGAACAAAACAACCCTACTCTAAACCAATATCCTGAGGTGCCAAGATAGCTCTTCTATGTCGTGCAACAATATCCAGTCATGTGACCTCTTTGTTCCATACTCTCTCTATATATATATCTATGTCAGTGTAAACTCCTTGTACCTGATAATGACAAACCTTGTCGAAATATTGTACATTTTCTGTTATGTTAAACTTATATTAAAGTTTTCCTTCACTATCCATTCAAGCGTCTCCAAGCCTTATCAATCAGCAATAGCTTTATCACCCAGGAGTTCTAGATTTCATCCAATGAGAGCTAGCTTAATCTTCTTAAATGCACGTCAGTTTATTTTATATAAGGCTCTGCTTTCCCTTCCAATTAATTAATGTTAACTATATCACCGACAAAACAAGTTGAACTACTTCATTAAACAATAATTATGAGAGATTTAGCTCTAATGATGGAGAAAATTACAAAAACGTGTATGGTAGAAAAACTGTCATTTCTTTGAGAATAATTATCGTATCGACAACAATGGTCAGATACAACGGATAATAAGAAATAAAAAAAGAAGAAACAATTAGCCATATTTTCTACGAATATAGAAACATTCGTAGATTACATGTTATCTACAATGTATATGAGATTATCGAAAAATTCCAAACGTATAGCATGGGTTGATCAACGACAAGCTAGTTACAGAATAGAAGTCGAAAGTATCTTATAACAAATAAAATAAACTATTAACTAAACGTATAGCATGGGTTGATCTACGACAAGCTAGTTACAGTATAGAAGTCGAAAGTATCTTATGACAAATAAAATAAACTATCAACTTAGAGAAGTCTTGAGTATTTTATTTTGTTGTTCCTTGACCTTCTTATATTAATATACTGGAATAAGGCTTTCGCAGGAAAAAGTCTTGGTGAACATCAATACACGTAAGGATAAGCAAAAACTTTGAACTGCACCATTTTTATATTTTTATAAGATTTAAATTTGAACAAATATTAATAGTGTCATCATTAAGTATGATAAGCTAATTTAGCGGTATTCAAAATTATGTTGTCGTCATATAGGTATAATAAGCTACCTTACACTTTTAATATACTAAACAGGAGGATAAATTATTGATTTTTTACTGTACTTAACGTTGATTTTATTAAAACTATGATTATATCATATATTTTTTTATATTTAATAAAGAAATTATAATATTTCTTTGTGATGCTCAGGATCATAAATAAATAGCCGAGAAAGCATTTTAAAGTAATTTTCCATAATATAATTTGTGGTTAGAAACATTTGGGCAACGTCCTATTGCTCGTAAAGTATATCAATTAATTTGTAACTATAGGGATTTGGTGGTTATATACAAAAGAGAGGACTAAGTATACTTATACAACTAGTTCATTTATCTTTCAAAAACAATTTAAGGAAGGAAGGTAAAATAGATACAAAAGGAAGGATTTGGAATGACGTCATGGGTATATTTGAAATATAAGTGAATATATTGGTTTCGAAAAGAAAGCTCTTGCTTAAATTCAAACAAAAAATCCTTTTTAATTCTGGTCTCTTGTTTTGCGTTGGCGTCAACTTTTCCATTCCTTGATCACCATATT